GTCTGTGGCTGAGTGGCATGAGATATTGGTGAAGCACGTGATCTGTGGTGTGAGAAAAGTCACGTGCGGACTTTGTGGCGAAAATCTGTGACAAAGGGCCAGATGGACGCCATTTACGGCAACATGGTCGCCCTGAAGGAGGCACAGGAAAAGATCATGACCTATATCGTTGGGCTGGAAACCCGGCTCAACAATGCTATAATCAATGTGCCCTCCACAAGTATCCAACAACCGGCTGGCCAATCCAGTCAATCACCCTGCCGAATCAAGCTCCCAGATCCTCCCAAATACTCGGGAAGAAAATTGTCAGAAAACTTCGAGACCTGGTTCACCAACCTTCTCATATGGCTCAATTACAATCACTTTATGGATGACAAGGACAAGATTCAGCAGGCCAACATGCATCTGGAAGGAGGAGCAGCTCTGTACATGAAAGAGTATGCAATCAAGCTCGCTTCTGGACAAAACATCGGCACATGGGCAGAATACACCCGGAAACTGGAAATGGCATATAAGACACTTGACCCCAAGCACACAGCACAATCCCTGCTAGATGCACACTGCGCAATCTGCCACAAGACGATGATTGCCTTCGCAGAGAATTTCAGGGCTTACGCCCCTGAATCAGGATACTCTGACGAAGATTTAATTGTCAAGATCAGGGAACAACGGTCGACCCATATTCAAATGGTCATGTCGGTAACAGAGACTCTAGATCCCTCGAAGATTCCAACCACTTGGATGGACTATCTCGAGTTCTGCCTGGAGATTGAAATCAAACATCTCCAGCAAATTTCAGGAAACAAGTCTATTGGACAGACCACGGCAACAAAGGCGGCCGCCCCCAAGAACCCTAATGCAATGGACACAAGCACACGAATCGCACATGAACTTTCCCCGGAACAGGACAGGTGGCTGGCAAAGAAACTATGTTTGTTTTGCAGAAAGCATGCCTATGAACGAGGAAAGCGGTGCCCCTCTCCCAAGCCAGAATACAAGGGCAAGCAGTTTCAAACACGATCTGCCCCGAAACAAGGAAAAGGAAAGGGCAAGGCGACAAACGTGCGACAGGTGGAAGAAGAAAGTAGCACGGGATCATCAGCTCAAATTGCGGCATTAGAACAAGCAATTGCTGCACTTCGTGGGATGAGCACGACCTCGACTACTCCCCCATCCAGCAAAGGCAAGGACAAGGCAAAGGGCTCAGACACAGCATCAACGGCATCGGCATCAACGGTCAAGGACACCAATGCGAGAATCACCGAGTTGAATGAATTCTCGGAGGATTTTCAGTACGAAGTGTAGACAAGTCTGGTACTACACTTCATGATGATTGTATTAGTACCATGAGAATGAATGTACCTAGCGACCATCTATATATTGCATCTGCGGATTTTTCTAAACATTCGATTGAACTGCCGATAAAATTCGTATCACGGGAAATCCAGACAACGGCCTTATTGGATTCTGGAGCATTCTCCTGCTACATTGATCAGAGATGCGCTCAAAAATACGAGTTTAAGATGATATCACTGAACTGTGAAATAAGAATCCTCAACACAGACGCCAGCCCCAACAAGGGTGGCACAATTACTCATCGTGTAGTCACCAGCATCTTGATCGGGGAGCACCGATCCACCGAGAGTTTGCTCATCACAAACCTCGGACACATGTCAATGATCCTTGGCATGAAGTTTCTACAAGAACACAACCCCCGAGTTGACTGAGAACATAGAGAGGTCACGTTCTCAAGGTGCAGACACATGAAGAAGCAACAAGTCAGAGTAAGCGAGGGAGAAGTCAACCTTTTGTTGCAACCTCGACTCGAAGATGAAGCAGTTCTTCCCGATGTACACATGGATGACGGGTGGGATCAGAAAGATGACTTCATCAATTGGATAGACTTGCAAGACCAGGATCTTCGTAACATGGTGCACGACATCCTAGGCATAAGCAAGAAGGTAAAGAAGCATTTGGTAGAATAGCCGGCAGAAGAGATACAGGACAAAGAATATTGGTCCAGATTCGTCCCTCCAGAATTTCATCAATTTGGAGATGTGTTCTCAAAGAAGAGCTCGGAAAGAATGCCGACGCGTAAGTCCTATGATCATGCAATAGATCTTGTCCCAGACGTGGCAACCCCGAGACCAGCAAAAGTATACCCCATGTCTTTACGAGAGAAGAATTCACTCGATGAATGGATTGATGGCAAACTAGTCAAAGGCTACATTCGACCCTCTAAATCCCCTTATGTGGCCCCGATATTTTTCGTAAAGAAGAAAGATGGCTCTCTTAGACTTGTCCAAGACTACAGGGCATTAAACAGTATCACTAAGAAGAACAAATTCCCACTCCCGCGAATCAATGATCTCATTGATGGACTCTCAAGAGCTAGTATATTTACTACACTAGACCTGAGATGGGGGTACAACAATGTACGCCTTCGCAAGGGAGATGAGGAAAAAGCAGCGTCCATTACCCATAGAGGATTATTTGAACCCACTGTAATGTACTTCAGATTCTGTAACGCCCCTAGCACTTTCCAGGCCATGATGAACGACGTCTTAGGTGATCTCATTCGCACTGGAAAGGTGGCAGTCTATATAGATGACATCATTATCTTCACGGATAACCAAGAAGAGCACGACCGTCTAACCAAAGAAGTCCTACAACGGCTCAGAGACAATGATCTATTCGTGAAACCAGAAAAGTGTCACGTTGCAACCACTTTTGTCAAGTTTCTCAGACTCATAATCTCAAAAGGGTCGATACAGATGGACTCAGAGAAGGTCGACGGTGTGCTCAAATGGCCAGTGCCCACCAAGGTTAAGCAAGTGCAAGCATTCCTTGATCTGGCAAATTTTTATCGATGATTCATTAAGGATTTCGGCTCGATGACCCAACCCTTGACTCTATTAACATGTAAAGATGCTCAATGGAAATGGGAAGAACCTCAACAAAAGGCATTCGAGGCCCTCAAAACTGCATTCACTTCTGCCCCGATTTTAGCACTCCCCAATGCAACACGTCCCTTTAGACTAGAGATGGATGCCTCGGACTTTGCCACAGGCACGGTCCTTGAACAGTTGGGAGAAGATGAACTCTGGCATCCTGTCGCTTATTACTCCAAGTCACTCAATGAACACGAGCAAAACTATGAGATCTACGACAAGGAAATGCTAGCCATCATTCGGGCATTGGAAGAATATAGACAATACTTTGAAGGACACCCTCACCCGGTTGAGATATGGTCGGATCACCTTAATCTCACCTATTTCTGATAAGCTCAGACATTGACCAGACGACAAGCTCGATGGTCACTTTACCTTACATGCTTCAATTTCATTCTCTGTCACCGCCCCGGAAAGACAATGTTGCATGCCGATCTTCTCCAGGAGGCCAGATCATGAGAAGGTGGTGAGCAATGACAATTCAGGGCAAACTTTGCTTCGACCCGAATATTTTGCCATCCACGCAATCTCAGCCACTCATTCCTCCGAAGTTGATGATGCAAAACTTCTGGAAAGAGTGAAATCGGCACTACAAGATGACGGAATGACCAAAGGGTACCAGCACCTACTAAAAACTGGCAAGCGAGAGTTCGAAAAAGACCTCCAAGAGTGGAACTTTGAGCATGGATTGCTGCTTAGAAGAGGAAAGGTCTATGTTCCAAAAGACTCTATGCTGCGGAATGAGCTGATCAAGCTGCACCACAATATCTTCATGGCTGGACATCCTGGACGATGGAAGATGCAAGAGCTGATCAGCAGGAATTACTGGTGGCCAGGGCTCATCATTGATGTAAAGAAGTACGTCCAAGGCTGTGTAACTTGTCAGAGAAACAAGACGAGCAAGCAAAAGCCTTACGGACTATTACGAACTAACCCGGTACCAGAGGGGCCTTGGGAAATGGTTACATGTGACCTGATTACACAGTTACCATCAAGCCCAGACCATAGGAGAGAAAAAAAGACTGCCATCCTGGTAGTCGTCAACAGATTTACCAAACATGCTCACTTCTACCCAGTAGATGACATGGTGACAGCATCTCAAGTAGCGTCAATCTTTTACAATGAAGTATTCAAACTCCACAGAATTCCCCGACAGATCATATCTGATTGAGGCACACAGTTCTCAGCCAAGCTATTCCAGGAGTTATGCCAGAAACTTCACATTAAGTCTACGATGTCTACAGCCTATCACCCGAAAACTGATGGACAGACTGAACAAGTCAACCAAATTCTGGAACAATACCTGCGTATGTACTGCAATTACTGACAAACTGACTGGGCCACACTATTGTCCACAGCGGAATTCGCATACAACAACCAAGCTTCAGAATCGACAGGCCTGTCCCCATTTTTCATTGAGCATGGTCGACACCCCCGAATGGCACCAGACGTACTGAAAGGAATACAGTATCCATCCCTGTAACACTTATTCCATAACCGTGATCAAGCACAGGAGCAAGCACGTGCCGCTCTGTCATTAGCAGCAGAAAGAATGAAATGGTATTTCGATCTCAAAAAGCAGGACGTCCCTTTCAAAGTAGGAGACGAAGTGCTTATTCGAGGAAAAGATCTCCATGTAAAGATCAAAAGTCAGAAACTTGTGACACAGAACTATGGACCTTTCAAAATCCTCAAAAAGATCGGAACCGTATCCTTCAAACTGCAATTACCGGCAGACATGAGGCTGCATCCAGTGTTTCATGCTTCAAAGCTCATAATGTTCCATCAAGACTCTATCCCTGGATGCGTACCTCCCCCTAACCCTCCAGTCATGATAGATGGAGAAGAAGAGTGGGACGTGGAGGACATCCTAGATTCCAGAGTCAGGTATAACAAAACTCAGTATCTCGTCAAGTGGTTAGACTATGACCACAGCGATAATACTTGGGAACCACTGGAAAACCTCATGAATGTCAAAGACAAAGTGGAGGAATTCCATAAGATGCACCCAAATGCTCCAAGAGCCAAGCCGCGAACCTGCAAAGAACATAAAATCGCTCTGACTGATCACCCTGATGAATTCATGGTCTTTTTCCACACCCATCCAAATGTCCATGCACCTTATAAGGGATCTGAGAAGGCCGTTGGATGGGACGTCAAGTCTGTACAAGACTTAAACATTCCCCCACACTCCAGAATGCTGGTGGGCACCGGGCTTGCAGTAAACCCTCCAAAATGGACATACATCTGAGTGGCCCCCCGAAGTGGGCTCGCCCTCAAAGGAATCAATGTCGCAGCAGCGGTAATTGACCCAGACTACACAGGGAAAATCAAGGTGATACTCGTTAACACCACCAGCAAACCATTCAAGGTCAGGACAGGCGATCGTGTCGCACAACTCATACACAAATACTACGCTCCAGGAATCATTACTGAGACTGATAGTTCACTCGCAAAGTAAACCATACGAGGCGACAAAGGCTTTGGCTCATCGGGACGATGAACCTTGAGAAGGGGGTGATGTCACAGTTTTACCTGATAAGTCATTATAGGAACATATGCTATTAGAGGCATATCATTTTTCATCATTTCACGTCGCACAAAGAATCACGTGACCTAAAGAGATAAGATAATGAGGCATCTAGTCACATGACCTCAGATCTCTCTTGGCATTGTCACGTGACACCGAGTTCCTCGGCATTGCGTCATATGTCGCAATTGCCATGATGTCATATTGCGTGCTCAAGAGGAGCTCCGTCTCTGTGGGGTATTATTAGGCAGACAATCAGGATAATTGAGACAAGTCGTACGATTGTAGCATGGTCCAGTAGCATAGCGTGTGACTCACTTACGTAGTACTGTATAGTAGCTAGACAATCATGTATATAAGAACCAGCAAGACGAGGAGGAGACCTCAGTCTTATTCTCCTTCATCCACCACTACCATCACAGAGGGGTCTTACCAGACACTCTCAGTGTGCTATATATCTAGTATCATCCTCACCATTGTGATAGCACCCCTCGCCTCACCAGTAAGTCTTACTCTGCGACTAGCGACTCAGCCTCATCAGTGGGCACGTCATATCGCCACAGCTCGTCGCTGTAGGCTTTTACCCAGAGACCCTCAAGGAGACTCTTAGTTTGGGTTGTCTATCTTTGTCATCGATGTGCCGTGACAGTATGTGGGAGATACAGATGGTTCCAAAGGTAGGGGTCTAGGCAAGACCCTTCTGGTGGGTGGTGGTGGATGTGGTGTAATATTAGGCATATTATTACGTCCTTCATCCTGTTGAGAACTGGATTCTGGGGCATGATCGTATCCTGTGTCTCTTTTTTTGCCTTTAGCAGTGATAGGAATACGATCATCATCATCCTCATCAGAATCAGATGAACTAGAAGACGATGAGTCTTCTGTCTCAGTCTCAACTGTAGCACGAGGAGCTCGTGGAGTGGTCTCTCCTTTAGGGTGAAGAGCCAATTTCTCAGGAGTCCTGGATAATGTGGAAGATGTTGGAATATCCCCTGAGGGGCCTTCCGAACTGGCTTCAAAATGAGTATGCTCAGGCAAATCTTTTCAGTACGTGAAAGAGGTCTCATCGAAGTGAGCATCTCGAGAGATAAAGACGGACCGGGATGAGCTATTCCAGAACCTGTATCCTTTAATTCCTGCTTCATACCTGACAAAGATCATTGGCACGGCTTTAGGGTGTAGCTTCCCATGCCTTTGCTCTTCTTGTACCATTATGTTGGCTTTGCATCCAAATGTTCGCAGATATGAAAGATCCGGCACTTTGCCTTCCCAAAGTTCTATTGGTGTCTTCCAGTTCAAACACTTTCTTGGGAGACGATTGACAACATGAATAGCTGTGTCGACTGCTAGCTTCTAGAAGCCATTACTTAAGCCTGCATGGTGACGCATAGCTTCCGCATGTCGTACAATAGTTTGTTGCCATCATTCTGCTCTCCCATTTTGTTGTGGTGTCATTGGCACAGATGTCTGATGCTCAATACCTTTTTCTTTCATATAGGAATCGAATTTCTTAGACATGAATTCGCCACCTCGATCAGATCGAAACCACAAAACATTGTTATTTTGCTGATGTTCAGCCCACATCACAAATGAGTTGAAAGCCATAAGGGTATCTGATTTGTGTTTGAGGAAATACATCCTTCCGAACGATGAATAATCATCCAGAAAGGTGGCTGCCCATTTGAATCCATCAAGAGATAGTGAAGGAAACTCTACTAAGTCTGAATGAATGAGCTCTAATACTCTAGTAGCTCTGGATGTTGATTCCTTAAATGGAGATCGTCTGAATTTTCCCAATGAGCAACCATGACAAAGATTATTAGGTAGTTTCTTTGCTTGGAAGGCTACACCTTGTGTTGCCTTGGGTACATGCATAAGTATGTCCCTGCTTGGATGTCCTAGATGATTGTGCCACAGAGCAAAGTCATGTGTTTGAACAGCAGCAATCACTCCTTCAGATAAGGGTGTTGCTTTCTGCAGAACTCTGCCACGAATGTAGTTGAAACCAGTGCTTTCATCATGATAGTTGGATGTTACTATATGATGCCCGTCAACCTTTTGGAATGCAATACCATGATGGGATGCAGTATACTTTTCGCCCTGATCAATGATTTGTCTGGGACTAAAATAGCAGCCTTCTACCTTGGGTACAATCAGGACTTTCTGAAGTATCAGAGTCCTAAGATCCTTTGTTGTAGGATCATATACTTCTAGCATGATGATACCATGTCCCTCAATCTCAATTGAGTGATTGCCACCAGCAAGTCTAGCTTTACCAGGTGTTGGGAACTTACGATATTCGATACAATCACTGAAGTATGGTGTCACATGTGATGTGCACCCTGAATGCAATTAGCCAACTGCTTTCAGAATCATGCAGGTTATATAGGTCTATATCAATAGATATTTGCTCAACGGATGCTAGTACAGGTACATGCTCCAGGTGCAGACTATTTACAGATGCAGATATGTCCAACAAAGACTTAGACTGTGACGATGGTCCCGGTTGAGGGAGTGGCTGCAGACTTTGAAGTCCCGCCGTTAGATCCCTTACCTGATCCGAAGAGTCAGTAATCGATTGCAAATTAGCAGAAGTAAAATTATCTTGATTCTGGGCAGGCTTTTTGCCTTTACCCTTTCGCTTGCCTTGCTTGTTAGCAGGCACCTTCCCCTTTGCATTGCCCTGGTTCTTTCTCTTAGGCTGCCAATTATCCACATGCTGTTCAGTGGTATGGCCTGCCTTCCCACATTTGCCACAAGGGCCTTTGCGGGTGACCTGGGAGATTCGTCCAATGGACTCTTCCTTACGATGATTTTCTTCGTCGATGATCTTAAGAATAAGATCCTGAGGCTTGACAGTGGTCAGGTCCAATCCCACAAGGAGATTCACGAGCACATTGCTGTAGCTGGGGGGGTAAGGACCTAGCGAGAATCATAGTGGCCCAGGAGTCCTCAACTTTGAAACCAGATTTGGTGACACAATTCCTTTGTGTCTCCAAGTCATCGATCTGTTGTTGAAGTGACTTTGAATCATCCATCTGGGTATTCATGTATCCGATGACGAGGTTCCAGGTTCCAAGTACGGATTCTGTGCCATAAACCGTTTTAAGTTTCTCCCATGCATCAAGCACGTGGGTTACTCCTTTCAAATGTGAGTGCAGCTTTTGCTGCGTCCAAACCATGATGATACCGAGAGCTTGTTGATCGTCATCATCCCATTCTTCTTGGGCATCTGCATCAACAGGGGTGACTGTGACATTGGAGGGATCAACATCAGCGGCTGCCAATGCGACATCTACCTCAAATTTCATTTGTGGTGACAACTTGTAGTGGTCGCCATCCACATAACGTCATAGGCATTTCATCATGAGGTATCCGTGCATACGCACAAACCATTCTGTCCAGTTTGTTCCATCGAGCTGGAACATGCTCACTTTGGCATCATTGGAAGCAGACATCGTCGTACTTTACGAAGCGGTGAGGTAGATAGGAGAAGTTGAGGTAATCTGCTTCAATGCAGATAATGTACGTGTCGATGTAGTGATCACGTGTGCTTACAAGAGGTTGGTAAGCGAATGCGATAGTAAAACACAAAATGTATTCAACAATTCGTCCTTCAGAATTTCTACCAACGCCTACTACTTCGGTATAGGTCGTGTATGGATATCTGATAGTGTAGTAGCGACGAAAGAACATATAAAATGATGTGGTTACACAAATTCAAAGATTGTCGAAGTAATTACCCCAAGCAATCTCAGCAAGCTGTCGTGTGATACGTAAGTAGTTCGCTTGTAACTGTATGAACTTGACCTTTCCAATTGCCTGCAGTCCCCAATTCAGGTGCTTCCAATGTCCTTCATTGTACTCCTGAGCATACTCGTTTAGATTCTTTTTGACCTGATCGAGTGTGGCAGTGAGCCAGGTAAGGATTTGTACGTCGTCACTTGAGAGGTGACGTTCGTGCATGGCGAAGGAGTTGTAGAAAGCGTTAAGGTGCTCGATGGTGGCGTCTAGCTTTCAGTGATAAATGTCGGCTTTCTTCTGAATGGGATCTGTTTTGGTGAAGTTGCAGATTTCAATGGCGGGGGGATGCTGATATAGTGGAGGTGGTTCGAGTCGTTCGGTGAGAGAAAGCTTTGCTGCACTTTCCTGAGCTTGCTTAGCATGTCTTTCAGCGTGCTGCTGTTTCTTCCATGCATGGTGGGCCTCGAGCAAAGCTTTGGAGCTTGCTTGGTGTGCTGCCTCATTGGCTGCGATCTACTCGTTGGAGCGGACTGGAGCTGTTGGCTTAGGAGCTGGGGCAGGTCACTTGTTGCGAGGGAAGCAGTATTGGCCTGCGGCCTTTAGCTGCTTGGTGGTGAGGTCCTTGACTTGAACGTGTTCGAAGAATTCCGGTGGAAGGTCTCGTCGCTTGCGCTCAGAGATCTGAAATTGTGTCGGCATCAGATTATATCTGGAGAATCAAATGGAGGGAAAAATTAACATGAACCTTTTCGAGTTTGGTCTGCAAACGTGTTGAGCTGCAGTAGTGTCACGGCAACACTGGACAAGAGATCAAAAAGACTAAAAAAGGGACAGTCACGTTTGGCATGTCACCCTGATCCCCCTGATCCCAAATAGTCCCCCTGAACCCTATGTGGCGCAAGAGCCTGAAACTTACTAGTCGAGGTGGCTGATGCAGGAAAGGGTTAGAGATATATGGTGGAGCTGGTAAGCTCAGTAGGGTGCTACGGTAGTAGACGAGGAGAAACAATCTGAAGTTTCGTCCTCTACATGGCTGATCTTATATACACGTACAGTGGGCTATCTTACCTAAGCTACCTATCTATGGGTTTAAGCTAATGGCTGTACGTGAAACAATAGGATGTCCAGAAGTAGAACAATGAGTGGGGAGATCGATGGTTGCCGCAGTAATGCATGTGCACATCGTGCCTATCTTGGTCTCCCTTTGTTCTCTGGTGTGAACATCGTGCCTATCTGGGCTTCTGGCTAAACTAATAGGAAGCGGAAGGCCGATGCATAACAATAGTCCTTGGTCCCTTTGTTCCCAAATGGGTGCCTCTATTGTATCCTGGAATAGACAGGTCCGACCGTATCATCCACGGGTCTGGACCATAACATGTGATGTGGACTATCACCTGATCTCTACGCGTCGCGTCTGTGGCTGAGTGGCATGAGATATTGGTGAAGCACATGATCTGTGGCATGAGAAAAGTCACGTGTGGACTTTGTGGCGAAAATCTGTGACACTACCCCCCTCTCAAGGCTCATCGTCCCGAAGAGCCAAAACCTTTGTTTCCCCTTTTAGTTGCTCGCAACGGTTGGTAGCTTCGGGAGGGAAGCCCTTCGGTGTAATACTCGAAGATTATTTGGGCTATTCTGTCTCCCAGCTTGACCGAAAATACGAAATCTGTTGTGTTGATCAGTATGACCTTGAGTTCTCCAGTGTAATCTGGATCGACGACTCCTGCGCCCACGTCAATTCCTCATGCAGC